ATATAGAGCCGAAGAGACGGCTCATGAATAATTTATATCGAATCATACCCCGAGTACGGAGAATACATGTTGCTTCTCAGGCCAAATTGGCAAATGTGTGTATAATGTATCCTATAATAGCCGTATGGTTGGGGCTACATATAAAATAGGCAACGTCGCCATCGCCTAGATACTTCAAATTCAGTCTTGGTTATACGTGGCATATTCTATGAAATACATATTTTATTTGGAAAAGTTTTCGGTCCAGGCTATTCTTTTTATAATGATATTTAGAGTTTCTGTTTTTGTTTTTTTTTTTTGTGTCGAATATTTTACAGGAAAGAAAACATTTGGTATAAATACAGCGCCGAGATCCATTTCCGGCAGACTAAGTACCTCAATTGGGAAAAGGCTTTGCTAAGTCTCCTCCCAGTGCAAACTATCTTTATTGGGAAACGCCCTTCTGGGAGTATCGAACGCAGGAGACTAGGTCCAGTGTAAACTACCTTCATTGGGATACACCCTTCTGGACCTGTCTCAAACCCAGCTTCAGTCTTCAGTCACGCCAAGTCTTCAGAGTGTACATAATACAGAGTGGCCTAGGTAGTACGTCCCTCCGTAGAAGAGACGTCATGGTATTATTCCTAGGGTAATATTATTCTATATATTGAATACATATCTTATTTTACCTATACCAAGCGAGTTTCTCTTTACCTGAACCTCACCTACGTCCCCAGGTCACGCTCCTGTTATGACGTCCCAGGACAAATAGGGGTTGGGACATAATTGGTGGAGGTGCCGATTGCCAAGAAGAAGTAATAAGGGAAGCAGGACCAGTCGCGAAATTTTTATTAGAAAAAGCGTTTTTGATACATGGAATGCCAAGAAATCTGCTTAGCGATAGGGGAAAAGTCTTTCAATCGGAGTTGGATTAAAGTTTAAAGGAGTAAAATTAGGAAGTTTAATGGAAGTAAGAAAGAAGCATATCATCCACGCTGTAACGGATTACCAGAGATGTTAAATAAGACAATAGCTGACATGTTGTCAATGTATTGTAACACACAGCAAACAGACTAGTGTAGCTATTTACCGTTTATTACGTTCGCTTATAATACCGCAATGCAGGATACGACTCGATGTAGCCCATTTATGTTAACGTACGCAAGGAAACCCACGCTACCTGCTGAAGCTATTTTATTAGATGCTGAAATTGAAACGGACGTACTACAAATCAGGAAAGAGGCACTCCTAATACGATCTATAGCAGTGGAAAATATGCAGAAAAGACAAGGGAAAGATAAGGGGCGTTTTGACGAAACACATAAAGAACTAGACTTTGAAGCTGGAGACAAAGTTAAGGTGTTTATCCCAATCAGAAAGGTTGGAAGAAGTGGAAAGTTACTTTCAGGATGGTTTGAACCATATAAGGTAGGAACTTGGAGAAGTAAATTATGAAGTAGAAAAAATTGGTAGTAGAAAGAAGAATAAAGATACGGTCCACGTCAGTAGGACGCTGCCCTACAGTGACCCGTGGACAGAAGGTGCACCTATCGAAGAGTATAGTGAAGATGAAGAAGTTGGAGAAGAAGAGGTGAAAGAAGAGGAAGAAAATGAGCAGTAGAAGAAAGTGGCCACATGTACATTATGAAAGTAGAGTTTTGGAGGGAGCGAAACAAAGCTTAGTATTAAATAAGATTAAACAGGATTTATCAAACTCTTTTCCTTCCAGATTTTTGGTGATACTGACTGATAGCGCCGCAAGCCAGGAGGTAGAAGTATCTGCCGGCGCAACCTGGAAACTTTTACCAGATACACTTTCATACGAAGGGTCAATCCCATCAACATACAGAGTACCCTGGCTTGAAGAGCCTTTAGAACTAACAATACTGGGAGGCAGGAAGTGTCAAGAATCAGAGAAAGTAAAATGTAGGATCTTAACATATAAGTATAGAAGGAATAGCATCGGCTGTAGACAAGGAATTGAGTAGTCTAACTAAGCACTGGAACGTAACTAATCTAAAATCAAGGAAGAAAAGCAAAAGGGCAATTTCATTATCATTCGTAGGCTCATCTAGTGTTCTGAAGTCGCAACACAACGAAGACTGGATTCCATGGTCATGGATACAGACGCCTCACGGTCACGACTGGATCAGTTACTAAAGGACTCCAATCTACCATCAAAGCACTGGGAGAACAATCAATATTCATGAAGCAGGAGCAAGAGGATGTAAAAAATGCTCTGGAAGAAATAGAATTGAGAATAAAAAAGATGAGGGTTTACCAAAGGGAAATGAATAGCCAATTAAAACAAAATCTGGCAACTGAGCGCATTCTCATCATGGCAATATTACGAGAAAACGTAGAAATATATCCTTAGTAAAATTGTTACACCTGCTAAAACAATGAAGAACCAGGATATTTTCCAGTAATGTAAACACCATCACGTACCAATAGCAGTTATAATACCATCCGTCTTGAGAAAAGACCCGTGATATCTTGAACGAAGAACTTAACAAAGACTTCCATGAATTAGCAATCTGGGCAGATGACATTACCAAATACTATGAGCATCCAATTTGCGATTGCAGCTTCACAGGCAACGAACTTGTGGTCCACATAAGAATACCTACAAACAGAAGGAATCATCAATGGAAAATCTTTGAGTTAGAAACCAACCCATTTTCCTGGCATAGTCAAACTTGCATCATCGAACATGACACACTATACAAGGTTGATGGGAACAATACTAATACTAAGCAAATTACGGGCACAGGGTTACATTTATGCTGCCCATATGAGAACAAACTATGTTACTTACTAAGGTTTTCGGGGGATACCCTCCGGGACCATCAGGCGCATCATAACTTTTCCATGGAGTCGAAGATTCAATCCTCCATTGTCCAATGAGCTGCCACCGATCTGAGATCCTTGTGACCACGGAAAGCGACGACGATCAGTTCATCATAACCCATCCATAAAAAAGCACCACAATAATGGAATGCCCGGACCAGACTGAATTTTTGAAGGACCACCACGCAGAGTAACCAGGGGTCATTAAAATCTTCATACCATGCCAGTGTCAGCTAAAAATAGACAACAAAGTAATTATTACAAAGAGATTCCCATGCCTTGACGAAATTAAAAAATTAGAAATACAACATTTGGTACCTGCAGCATGGACAAACCTCAAGTCGTTTGTGTTCAACCGACTTCTAACACCACTTCCAGTTAAATTCAGTAATATGCAGGAATGTATTAATCAAAATTGTTTCCTTAAAATTCCACATCGAAAGTTGACGTCTCATAAAGAATTTCTAAAAGACACAGCTGAGAAATTGGAGATAGTACAGGAACAAGTACCACCAATAACTTAACACTATATCACGGAGATCCACAGCATAATGGTTATCTGGAACACAATGTTATCAATAGTACTACTTTATGATATTTTCCAAAAAAGCACTTACACAATATTTACGTCGGTAAAAGGCCAGAGCAGGGGCCACCCAGTGGAACACGATGCATTTTTTACGTCACATGCAGCCTATTTGCAATATGCTTAGGTTATGAAGCAATCAAGATGTATAAATACTTACGTTTAAATAAACAAACAGGGGAACCTACACTGAGGCACCATACACGAACTAAAACTAAAAGCAAGGAAACAAAAACTGAGCGTAAAGATGAGGATACCAAAGAATACACAATGAAAATTCTCAGTCACATGCCAGATGGAAGTAAGTAAGTAATTTTATTTAATTTTTGATGTCTCTTCTACAAGCATTGGGGCCCAATGCTTTTCAGAGGGGGGGGGGGCATACTATGTCAACTACTTGAGTAAATACCACTCTGTACATCAATTTTATCAAAGTGTATCGACGAGTCCATAACCGGCACACTAAGGCTAGTGCAAAGTACCTCAATTGGGAAAAGCCCCTCTAGAAGTCTTCTCCCAGTGCAAACTACCTTTATTGGGAAACGCCCTTCTGAAAGTATTGATCGCAGCAGACTAGGTCCAGTGCAAACTACATCTTTCAATTTAATACATATTTTATTGGACCTATATCAAGCGAGCTTTTCTCTACCTGAACCCCACCTACGCCCCCAGGTCACGCTCCTGTTGTGACGTCCCCGGACAAAACGTATAGGGGTTGTGACAATATTAATTTCTAGGATGGGATGAATAGTTTAAAATAATATCGGTCAATTTTAATCAAGTTTCAGCCATGTGTTTCCATCGCGAACACAATTTAGTTTTACCACTAATTATTTTGGTTATTTTAATTATACGAAAAAGCAATACCTATTCAATTTATAATTTCAATTTTTTCTAGGAAAGAAATTGGACCAGGTGACACAGAAATAAATGATAAAAACTCGAGTGGAGAGAAAATATAACTTAAATAAAAGTCCTATACATAAAATGTCTACCCTCAAAACATATTTTCGAAATTTATTTTTGAATAAACATCGCCGAAAAACACAAATATGTTTCCTTTGTCCGAATATAATAGAATCGTTCTTTTTCTTTATTGCATTCCTTTCTTTTCGTTATTTTTCATTTTCCCGTTCTCTGCAAGGTAAAACGAGAGAATAATGGAATCGCAACCTGACATATTTTAATTGTAAAACTCAACAAGAATGACAATGGTCATTTATCTATTTCAATGGTAATTGTAGAAAAATGACACTGTTTTTGTATTCTGGTATTCAAATATTTAATTGATTGGAAAAAGAAGACTTCTCTCGAAGCAAAAGTCAAAATTATTTAATTGCAAAAATGTTTGACATATAGTTGAGAATAAATATTCTTTCACTAGTGATGGAATGAAGCTATTCCGTAATCAAAAACTAAGTCGGAATGGACGAATTCCCTGATAGTTGTAGAAAAAACAAATTCCGCATTATTGTTTGACCGGTATAATTACTTTCTCTGAAGTTACATGAAACAAAAAATTCAAATAAATATATCTATAACTAGAAATCAGTGCCTTGAAAATTAACAATGTTTTTTTTTTCAGTGCCACTAATATTCACGGAAGCGGTCCAAGGAGATCCAGTGTTTCTACCGTGTGATATATCAATGCCCGAACCTAGTGATAAAGTTCTATTAGTGTTGTGGTACCGTGAGGATTTAGGAACTCCAATTTACAGGTAGGATATTTCTATAAACAAATAATACCGAATAAGACGAAACCTCGTGACAAATACAAATCAATTACCTCATTTAAATTCGCCAGCAGCAGTAGCAAAATTCATGAAATAGAGTTACCTCTAGTTTCTCGCGATGCCAAATTAATTCTAAAAGTTTATTTTCCAGCCGCTTAAGCTTAAAGGCTTTAATTTCATCCGACACATACGCAGAAGATTTCCTTGAATACACAGGGGCCTAATTCGAATTCTAGTATTCGCTTTAACTTTGCTCTTTACTTAATTACCTCTGTCTCTCAAGTATCAGCTTTTCCCTTTCGGATTATTTTGATAGGCTCTGTATCATTGAAGGAAAGAGAGAGACTAATTTTCCGAGTGAATTTTCATCCAAAGTTCCAGGCTTTGCATACATATTGCTCGATTGAGGTAGGGGTGAGTGTTTTTAGTTTCTGGTTGCAGATAACAATAAGTTTATAAATTCGCATTGTTTGCTTCCGAAATGCACAGACGAAAAACGAACCCAACATATTGTTTAGTCTGAAATAATTGGAGAAATTGAAGAAGTGTGAAAGTTTTAAAGAAATCCAGCCTAGCCTCATCCCAAATGGTGTTATGATTCAGATTTACATTGAGCTTATCTCTATACAATACGTATATCTAGACAGCAACTCTGTCCCTACTGGGTGCTTTTCTATCAAACGTTGGTTGGCTTCATTAACACACCGGTTTGCTTAATTTCTTAATTTATTCTCAATCTCCTAAAGATGCTAACATACCTCCTCCTCTCTTGTGGAAAAACTGAATTCCCCCCAACATATCGCGGGAATCCTTCCTTATCTCATCAATCTTCTCACCACAGTTCCCAGATTTCAAACAGTCGATTTAGTGGGAGTTATTCTTTCACAAAATGGGCTCAGTGATCTAGATAAAATAAACGTAAACGTAATTTCTTCAGTTAACCTTTGCCTATCACAGGACTTCTTTAAACAAGTTCTTCAAGCAATCTGAAGGCAATGGGTAGTTGTCCTTCACCTTTATCAGCAGATGTCTTCATGGGCCATTTGGAATCTACAAAAATTTTCAATGATAATAACAAAAAAATGTAACACTGGTTCAGGTATTGTTAGAAATAAATTCAGTTATTTTTACTAAGACAAGAGAACCTATAGGGTCGTGGAATTCAAAAATAGAGATAACGTGTAGCCCCTTTATGTGCAAATGAAATCACTCAAATTCCAACAAACAATAATTTTATTTTCACAATTTGAATATTTGCAAATATAAGTAACAATGCAATTAACAAGTTGCTTTTGAAAATTTGACAGTTAGCAGTTTGGTTGTTCTGGTGACACACTGATACTGTATGTACCTTTTCCAATCCGGAACTCTTCAATGGATGTTGGGGTTTTACTTCCGTGAACTGGAGCTCTTCGTGTTGTTTCCTGTATCCAGGAAAGAGGATAGATTGCTGGTGTGACGTCACTCCAGCAGATCCAGACTCCAAATACTGATCTTTATGTCGAGTAGGTAGCCAGAAAAAAATGAAGTAGTATCAGGTTCACCAAGATTTGGAATAATAAATCCCTGAATTCAAAATAATTGAAAATGATGCTAAAATAATAGTAAAATAGGTAAATACAGCAAGATTAAATTAAAATGCTCGTTATAATTGAGCAGGATTCTGCTTTTCTGGCAGTCGCAATAAACAGGCAAAGTTTTTTTAAAAAAAATGTAGGAAAAATTGAATCAGATAAAAAATTAAAAAAATTAATCTCTAGATTTTCCCCAAATAGACAAATTTTCCCTTTAAGTTAAGGTACCTACTATAGGTACTACAAGATTAAGCTGAGGATGAAATAAATTGAATCCAGGAATTGTCGAAATTTTTGAGATGTTTTAATTAAAACCTTTTTTAAATGAATTTTTGACCTGTCTGAATTCCTATTTTAAAAATTACACCCTTTTTCTCACTTTTTACACCCTCTTCTCGAGAAGATAATAATTGATGGAGTCAAACAGAAAATGGCTATACAGGCCTCTATCTGGATTCCATAAAGAGTTGATAGGGATGGACACACAAATTTGGTTTGCACCGACTCTATTTAGAGCAAATGGTCCAATAATCCCACACTAACAATTGATTCCGAAAACCAGAGCAGCAGTACCTATTTATTAGCCCAAAACTCTGAATTGACTCACCTCAGAAAAACGTGGGACCACCAATCACAAAATGGAGGCACACAATTGGATAAAAAAAAATTAAAATATAATATTTATATTTCAAAAGTAGATAAGACAAGATTTATCAGGTAAAAACTCAACAGTGATATGGTAGTATACATTGATGGCAGAATAAATTGAAAAATATTAAGGGAAAATATAGAAATCTGAAGGAAAAATTACAATAATGAAAATCGCCTGCTCGGCCACTGCTAGAAAAAGAGACCATTTTAGAAGCAAAACTCTGCAGGAACACGAGGTTTTTGTTTTATACTTAACTGCGTATTAACCAGATCGAACCAATCAGAAGAAAGCACACCACACACAAAAGACTATGTTCACTTCATCAATGGAAAACCATGCTGATTGAAATAGTATAGATAAAAACACACTAGAATTATTTTAATTGGTAACAAATTACAATAATTTAAATTAAGGTTATGTTGCAAACACAAAACCACTAATTAATTAGGTCATCAATTTAAAAATAATCATTTCAGAATCAGAAGTTAGAGAAATACAGAAATATATCTATCTGCTAAAAGTGAGATAAATATAATTTCTTTAAATGAAAATACGAATGACTGTCAATGAGAAATAATAAAAAGCATATTTAAAAAAATAGGTTTATCAGGTACTAGATGGCGGTACCTTCTTTTAATAACAGATATTTGCATTTTTATGCTCATTATGGATAGATGGCAGTACTGATATTATATTGAACTAATTGAATTTTCTAGATACTTTTAAATTACTTAAGTTATGAATTATCATTCTGCCGATTCTGAAATGGCAAAAATACAACTTTATAATGAAAATTAGAAGATATGGGACATGTTACGTAAATGATAAATGTATCGTAACAGTATATTGATGCCTGCCTGTGTTTTTTGAAATGTGACGACCTCGGTGCAGCCAACTTACTTAAAAAAATTAACAACATACATCTCAGTCACGATGGAAGCCGAGAGAAATAGACATATTAACTTCCTCGGCATCACAATCAAAATTTTTGAAGATAACAAAAACAAAGTCACAGTCTCATAATTTATTTGATTAGCTACACGTGTTTCGCTCAATAGAGCATCATCAGGCCTAAAATAAAATAATTGTTAAACAGATCATCTATTACTGCCTTGGACGTCGCCAGAACAACTTGGTTGAAAGAGGAAGTTAAGTGCCATTACAGAACTTTAAACAAGGTGAACTCATTACTAAAATACCTGTATTTCACTTTGAATACATTTTTGAACCATCTGGAGTTCATCACTTTGGACTCATCATTGAGGGACGAGGTTGAATCATTTTCAAAAAGTTCGTTTGACCGTTTAAGTAATAAATTAAATAACATTAAGTTAGCCCAGCAACATAAGTTGAAATCTAGTAATTACAAGGAATATCGATTAAAATTAGGACAGTGTCATTTCGAGTTTCATAAGAGGTTTTTAAATTTGTCTGACGTTGTGTTTACAGCGGAGGAAGAAAGTTTACTTAATCTAAACCTTAAATATAATTGTTCTGAGAAAGTCGATTTGCATACGCGGGAAACTTTGGCCGTGGAGGCAGAGAACATTTTACAAACTACAGATATACAAAATAAAAATATCTTGCGAGCTAAAATAATAAGTTTTTTAAATTCAAACTGGGGTTCTAGAGCCAACAATTCAAATATTGATAAAAGACATTTAATCTCCTTAAAAAACAAAATAAAAAGCAATGACCTAGTTTTATCAAAGGCGGACAAGGGAAACTGTCTGGTGATTCTGAAGAGGAATGACTATATCAAAAAGGTGTTAGATTTTTTAGAGTCAGATGATTTTCTTACTATAAACAAAGACCCGACTAACGGCTTTTTCACCAAGGTGAAACAAATGCTAGACAAATGCTGTTTAACTCTCGAATTTTTCGAAACTAGGAAAGATAAATTATATCCAATGAATCCTAGAACCCCGACCCTCTATGGACTCCCCAAAATCCATAAGACGGGTTTCCCTATAAGACCGGTTGTGTCATTTACAAATTCTCCATGCTATAATTTATCCGCATGGTTAAATACTGTCTTGAGGCAGGTGACTGGTTTTAAAAGCAACCATTCAACAAAAAATTCTGTAGATTTGACAAAGTTTTTAAAGAACGTTAACTTACCGCAGGGTTCTAAGCTAATATCTTTGGATGTTAAAAACCTATTCCCCAGTATTCCTCCTACAGATTGTGTGGATCTGGTGAGAACACTTCTATTGAAATCATCACTCAGTCGACTCATTGTCGAAGACCTTTTAGCCCTGCTTAGGCTCGTACTCGATCAGAATTTCTTTCAATTCAATAACAAATTTTTTAGACAAGTGAACGGCCTGGCTATGGGCTCTTGTCTCTCCCCCCTCTTGAGTGAGATATTTATGAATCATCTAGAGGAGAAAATTGTCAATGGTAGATTCGGAAACTTTATAACGGTTTATAAAAGATATGTAGACGACATTTTTATGGTATGGACTGGAAATGATCAGGATCTAGCTAACTTTCTTACTTTTGTAAACTCTTTACACCCTAATATTTCTTTTACAATTGAAGAAGAAAAAGATAAACAGCTACCTTTCCTGGACATCCTGATCATAAGAGATAACAACAAATTGCTATTTGAAATCTATCGTAAGCCCACCACTACTGACAACGTCATCCAATATTCCTCCAACTCTCCACACTCCTATAAATTTGCCTCCTTTAATTCCCTTTTTTATAGACTCTTCAATATCCCGCTATCCAAAGAGGCTTTTCATAAGGAACTT